GGTTGAATACATTTTTTATATTTATTGATTTAAGTGTTTTGAGAAAAGATATACGATTATCAAAGATTTTTTATTTATTTTTCGTGCATAATTAACTATGAAAATACCCAGCGATGTAAGTAAAAATAAAATAAATATTTTTATTAAATCGAGTTCTAGCCAAAGTTCATTTAAAGGTTATTTGTGGAGTGTGTAAAAAAGTCTTTTGTTGTGCCGAGTGCCGTTACAAACATGAAATAAAAACACATGCCATCATTGTGGAGAAACCCAAGGTTAAAAATCAAGTGGACGGAAACTTAGAGCCTACCAATTTAGGGGATCCTTTGAAAGAAAGCGAAACTAGCAAAATATTTCTCTTCTGCCCGCTTTGCGAACGTAAACCAATGCCGCTGCAACGGGACATGTACGCAGAGATGTTGGCGCACGTTGAGCAACATCATCTGCCGCTGCGCTGCCGGAATTGCACTAAGGTTACCATACCTATATAAAATAAATATGATTTTCAGGAGGCGAAGCCTTACAGCTTATAATACAACGTATTTATGTCCTTACAGGTCTACAATCGCATTGATGAATTGCAAAATTTCTCCAAATGTACTCACACAACCGTCCCAATATGTTGTTATCCTGAACAGGGTTGTTGCGATCAGACCTGTGACACAGTGACCACCATGCAGAAAGACTTAGCCAAAGTGACAATTTCTACGCAGACTTCCCCACAGCGCCGTCAAAACGGCGAATTCCACGAGACACCGATGTCCATAATTAATCTGCGTTGGAAAGCCAAGAGTAAGCTGAAACACGAGGAGTTTGTTAGTGACAGCATTTCCTCCTTGAAGAATATATCATCAATCAATAGTAGCTCAATGCGTCGGAGTTTGGATGCCATTGTCAGACCTAAGGGGCAACTAGTGCGCACAACCTCGACGCCAGTGCATGCGGAACTGCTTTGCACCAAGCATACTGAACGTACTTTTAATGCCTCTGGTGGCCAGGTATCGAGTATTTATCACACTGGCGCCGAGTCAGACAATCACAGCCCAGCTCTGCCCGCAGTCGCTGCCGCAGTGACAAATACTGCTGGCGCATCACCAGCAAAGCCACATTTGGAAAGCATTAATCGCTATCTAAAAGTAGGCGGTCCACGTAGTAAGATAAGCGCTGTAACGCCCTTGCGACAGGTGATGTCAAAGAGCATACAAAAGGCATTCGCCGAACACGGAGTATTGCCATTGACACGGGCTGGTGATGCCGAGGGGCCGCCTTTACATAAAAAGATATTCGACTCACAGGCGACTGACAGCAGCAGCATTGGTGTGAGCTCCCCTCTCGATCTACGACTCTCGCCGGCTGTTCGCCGCACCCACAGCGAAGAGTGCATGAGCCAGTTTCACTCGAGCACTGCCTCTGCGGCGCGAAAATCCAGCTTGCACCAAAATTTACATCATGAAGTACTGCGCTCTTCGCAGAAACTCACTACCACCGAGTCAATTGTGATCAGGCGCACCAAACACATGACCAGTGTAGCTAGTGGCATAAGCGATGGACTCAGCTCGAATGCGTCAAAGACTTCTGATAAATCTACAGCATCTNAATTGTGATCAGGCGCACCAAACACATGACCAGTGTAGCTAGTGGCATAAGCGATGGACTCAGCTCGAATGCGTCAAAGACTTCTGATAAATCTACAGCATCTTCATCGTCCGCTACTAGCAATAGCAGTGGTATATCAAGCTCCAGCGGTAACTCCGTCTATAAAACATGTGAGAGTATTGAAATCATTACTGCCACCACTGCTTTCAGCGAGATCCAGCAGGACTATTATGCTGTCTCTGATCAACTTGACAGTGCAATGGAGAAAATTGTGCCCACGATGGAAAGTGTAGCGCAGGTGGTAAGCACTAATTTGGCGCCAATAACACCTATAACGCGCATACCAGGCGCACTCATAAACAAGAAGCTCATAAGATTTGATTCTCCTTGCGAAGAAGATGAGGATGCGGAAAATTCGAAAGAAATTGAAAACCATTTAGACAAGGAAAATCGCGTCGTGGTGTTACAGGCAGCGAATACACCGCAGTTGTCCACCTTACCGCATACGTCGCCAAAGCACAATCATAGAACAGCAGTTGCCGGCTCGAAGGCTATGGCCAAATTTCTGGAAACTCCGCACAGCACCAACTCTTCTGTCTCAGATGTTTTCTTCACGCCGAATGCTACACCTATCCGAACGAGTAAAACATGCGCGCCCACAGAAAATGTACAGAAACCAGACGATTTCAATAAAGGTGCAAAACTTCGTCCCCCTTCGTTTGGGAAAAGTGGGAGATCTGCTGCTTTCGATCATACAGAAAACATTAATAACAATGTCATTGAAAATGTCGAGACCCCNCGCGCCCACAGAAAATGTACAGAAACCAGACGATTTCAATAAAGGTGCAACACTTCGTCCCCCTTCGTTTGGGAAAAGTGGAAGATCTGCTGCTTTCGATCATACAGAAAACATTAATAACAATGTCATTGAAAATGTCGAGACCCTGCCTGAAATTACACCTAAACATATGATGACCCAAAAATCAACCTCCCCTCTCGCTCGCTCGTGGTCATTTGGAGCTTTACTAGGTTCCGTCATGCGTCTGAATTCAAAAGGCAAGGCAGCTGCGACAGAGAAAATCGAAACACCGCCCACTGAAGGGATACATTCTGATTCGCTAATTAAACGCTGCGCTTCCATAGCGGGTAAGTATAGCTAAATAAAAGGACTAATCTAGGTATAGATTATATAAAATGCCGAGATGCTAGACCCTGAACCATAACTAAACTGGTTAGTTACATTAGACAGCATATAAACAAGTTACCAAGTGTTGATTTTTTTTAATATTCATAATCAGCCTTATCCTGAGTTTCGCTCGAAAACCAATTCACCCGAAAATTGTTCATCCCCCCATAGTGAACGCAAGGAAACTAAATGTGAAGAGTCAACCGGTTCGGGGAAAATTAAACTCATGATAAGGCTGAATGATTTCAGATGAAATATTTTTTGTATTCTTCTATGAATATTGTCCAAGCTTTAACCAAAACCATATACTTAAATCAACCCTTATATAAAATTTAGGAAATTTCAACAAGAAGATTTTTCGAATATAGGATAAAGTTTAAAACATAGATTTAAAATCCGAAAATGCAAAAAAAAAAATAAGCACATCCGTTGAGCTGTTCGTGTGTGATTTTGTTATGANCCAAGCTTTAACCAAAACCATATACTTAAATCAACCCTTATATAAAATTTAGGAAATTTCAACAAGAAGATTTTTCGAATTTATCATAAAGTTTAAAACATTGATTTAAAATGCGAAAATGAAAAAAAAATAAGCACATCCGAAACATAAAATAACTAATTTTTGTATATGACAGATAGAATTATCGGTTATTAAAACACACTTATTAAAATTCTTAAGTTAAATAAGGATCATAGTGTTATTTTTGGAAGACTTTTGAAGGGAAATAGTCTTATTCGATGAAAAAATAGTAAATTTTAACGAATTTATAGCAATTCTATGAAAAAATTTATTTTCCCCAGGTAAAATACATGGGAAACTTCTAAGCCCCGGCGGCACCGATTTCAAAATAAAAAATACGTGTTCTTATTTTTGATATTCTTCAGTTCTGGGGGCGGAAGCAGGAAAAATCAAAAAATTAGATTTTCCTATGTATTTTAGAGCGCCCTAATATACATAGACGATTTTTTTCAGTCTCACCCCCTCAATCCGTGGTACCACGGTCACAGATATCGCATATAAATTTTGGTCCCGATTCGATACGATTAAGGCGCGTCGCACAGGAGGCAAAGTGCAGATTCTTCTATAGAGACTCAAAAAATTTAAATAATTTTTTTTTT